CACGTGGGCGAAGCGAACAATTTCATATTTATAAAGATAGTATTTATGATACGCTATTCGAGTGGCTCGCATTTGTTTCGCTTAGTGTCACTGTGGCTGTCGGTGTGGCGCGTTGACTCTTAGATATGCTAAGCAACTAAGGACGAAGAATTTGCATAAGCATTTTTTCAAAGCATAATGGCAACTCCCGTTGAATCAAGCTTTGCTGTGTGTGTGGAGAGAAGGAGTAAGTCATATTGCAAACGGAAAAATGGCAGGTCTTATATATTATATGTACATAGCTATGATCTCAGTTTTGTTAGAAATAACAATTCAGCATTGTTGTTGGAGTGTTTTATTTTTGAATTCTGAACTAGCCGTCTGAAGCTTTCCACTGAGTGTGCATTTATAACATTAATAAAACTACACCAACAAAAAATATTCTTACTGCCACTGGTAAGGCAATTTTGAATTATTACTTTGAACTATTTGTAAATAATAAAATTCAGGGAATATTTATTCCATTCAGAAGAGAGGACATTGGGCAGCCATGAAATGTTTGTCTAAAAGGCATTTAATTTCGATTAGTTGTGCGAAGCCATTATCTTCTCCGCTAACCTAAACCAAACGTGAGTGTACAATTGCTTTTCTCTTAAGGTACCTAATAGCATATATTCGATTCGAAGGCGGTAAAACTATTTTGTTATTCTATTGCTCCAGTATTTTTTATCTAAGTATTCGAGAAGTATTAATAACACATACAAAAGCCAGAAGTATAAAATTTCACAATAAAGATCGCACTTAAGGGTTGCATTGGTTAGGTAATATCTCATATCTCAGTAAAGACTTGAGTAATTTCAACCAACTTTAGTGTGCAAATCACTATTTGGTGGTTTGAAAATTGCCGAAATCAGATCACAACTACGTATTTTTTTTCCTGTATCCCAAATTTATTCTTGGTCGATCTGTAAGATATTTTAAGGGGCACACTTAGCGTTAAATTATAAAACAATCGATTTGTTTTTTCGAATTCCCATGGGTTATACCTTTAGAAATAACATATAATTTCGAAATTTGCTGGCAGGCTAAAAATCAGCTTTTATTTTAAACAAGGCCATTTTATTAATTTTGGATTTTTTTTCGATTGTTGTTCTAGTAGAGAATTATTTTTCGGTTTCACCCTAAAAGCGCCGAAAATTTTAGCTAAAATTCCACTTTTATTTTAAATGCTGCCATTTGGTCAATTTTGGATTCTTTTCCGACCGTAGATCATTGTACGGACAAAATATTTTAGTAGAGAATTTTTATTAGGTTTCATTCCCAGAGAAGGCCGGAATCACTACCGTCGCATGTCGCGCATATCTCAAAAAATATATAATTTTTTCTTCAAAATTGTACTGTGTATTCTTAAGATGTGTTAAAATATACCCTTGCAACTTTAAAACAACTGAAACAGCAGTTATTTTTTTAAATTCTCACAAATCGCTTTTTTGAGGCTGTCACACGAGGTATGTCCCTTAATAGAGCTCAAAAATAACTATAACTTGGATATTTTATAGCTTAAAGGTAAAAATGTGTGAACCAGGTTCATCGATAACCTTAGCTCCCGCTTGTAATACTACATATAATATTTTACGTTATTCTAGTAAACTATGTGTGGAGTACAAATGTATTACGGAAACATGTTCTAGAGTACACCTGAGCGTAACGGGAAAGGTTAATGCAGTTCATGCAGACTTTCCACTATCCCCAATATAGTAATTTTCGACTCTCCAATTACTTCATATCTATCAATCAATATGTTCGATATTTTGACAAAAGAACACTTACGAGAGTAAATAATATGTGGATTGAAAAACAGTTCTTGAAAATCGTTGTATAAATTCGAGCGTACTAGTGCCAGACTGTCCTGGGAGATTATTGTCTGCTGTTGAATATTTTAGACAGCTAAGACATTTTAAAGATCTTGACAGCAATTTAAGGTAATAACTGTAAGTATATGTAGATATAAACATATATACAGTGGCTAAAACCATTACAACGACAATAGCAGCAATAATATTGGAAATTATGGAATCAAGAAGAATATTTACATATATACATAACATATAAACATATGTTTGTGTGAATGCACTCTCAGCCAACGGGCATTTTGTCGACCAATAAATTGTTTTTTAATTTTTAACAAAAGTTCGAAATGTAAACTTATTATTATATAATATGTGTGTATAGGTTTACCTTTACCACAGTCAATTTTTTAATTCAGGTAAAGACGTACATATGTCCAACATGTATAAGTTATTTATCATTTCAAAAAAGTTTTGTAAGTTTGAAGGACGTCAATATGATACTATACAAAATTTTATTTATTAGAAAGTTATTTACTCGCTTATAAGTACAAGTGCTATGTATGTATGTATGTTACTGTGCGACCGCCTTCACTTGATGGCACACAAACTATATAATTTGCAGCTGCTGGCTATGCTTTTGTGCATGCCCACAAAATGCAATTCCAAAATACAAAAGAAGCTATTTTAACTATTGCCTGAATACTGTCTTGACTTGATAGCATATCGGGTAGCAGCATTCATACGTGACAACGCCCGATACGGCGAAATATTCACAAACTCGTACAGCCGTGAGCAAATAACCGTAAACGTAAATGATTTGCAATTTATCGATATTGTTTCGGCATTTTGCGGCAGCGGAAGCAAAATTGGAATATGTTAGTTGCATGCGGTTAGCTGGAAATTTGAACAGTGTAAGATTTTATAAAAATGTGATTCAAATAGGTTTACATACGAAAAAAAAAATTTAATTGTATAGGTACAAGAAAATTTGTTATTTAATAGAAGACCCAACCACGCGTTGTATATAATCTGTTGATTACTAAACGTGTACTTTTGTATATTAGAGTTGGATTCAAATTACGCTAAAGAATAATAGGTTAACCAATTTTGAGTCGAAGATTATGTGATATCATTCCGGGTATATCAAGATAATTAGAAACAATTAAACATTTCAGTTTTTAAGCTATCGATCTGAAATTTTGCACCTCTCCTTTCCCCACTAAGAAGCTGCTAAACAATCGGAATCAGGAGAAGCTTTTTTATTTGATGTACTATTTTTACGAAATTTGGCATGAGATCAGTTGACTATTGCAAACTTTTTCATTTGACGAGGTATCTTCATGAAATTAGATCGGAATCAAGTTCTTGTAAAGAAACCCTGTATTTGTTGGGGGTAGTTTCGATGCAACCGTGGTTAACGTTATTTCTTGTTATATATAAGATATGTCGAGATGGTTTTTGATGTTGATAGAATGGTATACGCAATCTAGAAGATGACCTGGAATTTCTGGCCCCATGAAGCAAAACCGACTATTTGCGGAAGACTTAATATTATGTTGTGTAGGTGCCTTATGAGTCTGCAATGATCAGTGTACACCACGCATAGTGAGAAACTTTCCGTGGGAAGATTTATAACTTGTTTAAAACATTTAAGATTATATCCTCCTAGTATCAGTTTCCTGCTAATTCATACGTTATTTTTCCCACTTTCCTCTTTATTGAATAAATTTTTGGAGTTAAAAGGTCCCACCGCGTGTACGGGTCCCAAAAGCTTAGTAGCCGCTGCAGAGCTTTCATGTTCATCAGTCAGCTTAATTTCGGTGACATTTTTGTGCTCCGACACTCATATATTGTAATGTGGATCCGGTGCATTCTAAACTATTCTGAACCATTAACGATTTAATCTCACCTTACTTAATAAATTTAATGGAAGATAATTTTTGACCGGTGATAATATATGAATTCTTTTTAAAACTTTTCAATTTTGATAATACCTATCAATATATTAGATATTTTGGGTTTATTGAGTCTTAATTTGTAAAACCTCTCGGAAAACATTGACACGCTTATATGTAACACTTAGATGTAATCGATATAGACATACTTGTAGGATTACAAATATGCATATATATAGAAGTAAGTTTTACGTCATCCCGAACACGTCGTTTTTTAAAGAATAAAGAAATTTCAAAACAAAAAACAAACTAGTATACTGAAGTTTCGAAAATCAGAAAGAGGTAATTATCTCCCAAAGCATTTACACACGATTTGCGCAAAAGCTTGTTCACCTTTATCCCACTGTCCGCTTCATTGATAGTATTAGCGGTTGCTTTGGTTTCTTTGCATCGATAACCTCAAGTAGCATTTGCTCTAAGGCTAGGTATTGCAGTGTGTGTAGTTGCTGTAGCTTTAGTGTGTCTAAATGTTGGCGCCTTTGGTATCCTCAACGTATCAATTTAACACAATAACGGAAACAATAGGATTTTATTACTTCCCCACTCAGTATTATGCGGATACATTCAATTAGAAGTGAGTTAATATGCACCGCTTAACTGGGTATTTGTGAGGTTGATCGCTTTACGCAAGTATGTATGTATGTAATTGTTTGCTTATGAATACGCATGTATGTATGGTGTATATGGAACAAGTTAATCATAAAGAGGGTGGATTAACAATTCACTTAATAACATTCGGAAACACAACAGACGAAGTGTCTTTTATTCAATTATTCAATCATTATATATACGCGTATAATACGTATATATACCGTATATTATTTATAAAAAAAAATGTTGCGCATACGCCCCGTAGGGTCAGTTCTATTAGTTAGTAAAATAATTTGCCATGTCTTGTCATAATTATGGATCATCTTGTGAACTATTTTCCAACGATATTTTCTAAAAAAGTCAAGCTTCAAATCTATCCTATATTTTAAATTGTTAGGTTTACGAAGAAATCGCTCATACTTGGATTTCTTAGAGGTGTCTCTCAACCAATTTTTCAAAGTACCAAGCAAATACCCTCTAATGTATATTGTACATATATACAGTGCGTTCAAGAAGTAACGTAAAGTAACGGGAGGAATCACATGTAATCTACAAGTGAGGACAAAGCCATTGTTCTCCTTTTTGAGTAGAAGTGACAGTCTAAAAGAAACTAAAAAAAAACCACTTTTATTTGGTTCGGATTAAATATTTGAACTCCTACTTTCAAAACCACACAATGACACAAGTATTGAAGAGCGTGATATACATATATAGTATTTTGTGGCCTTTCCGACCGACATATTCTTAAAACATGCAATTTGCTATGAACGCCAAGGATCTGCGACAATTTCTCTTCTCTCTAGTCCAGGATCTACGATTGTATGTCGTATTCCGTCTGCCAATGCTTTTTAACTCATTACACAAAATTGTGAACGATTCCGTACTCATCCTGAAGCTTTCCTTGAAAAGTTGGTCACTGCAAGCAACGTCGAGCACCCAAAAGTTACCGTACCTTTCCTGCAATTTAACATAAGCGGATAAAATGTTTTGGAAATTTAAAAAAATGTAATGTAATTGCTTACGTGTTTCCACAAACGGGTTGGTCTACTATTGTTAAATAAAAAATGCAATAGCGCATTTTGAATGTGTATACCAGATGATATTTTTTTTAATCTGAGTTGTCGTCTTTTCCGTATTTCTTCCAACTTCTTATTTCTGGCAGCAATCTGCGCAATTAAGTATACAATCGCCTTCTTTTTTTCTTCCATATCTTTAAAATGTATAATTTCAACGTTTTTATTAATATTGTATTGTATAGTATGTAAACGGTTAAATTGTTGAACCAGCTTAGAACGAGATCATTTTCATATGTAAACGTACTTTTACCGAAGAAACGTGTCTTTCGTAGATTAACAAGAGAAGGAAAACATGTTTTTTTTAAGGGTGCGTGAATGTCGTAAATTATAAAATATAGTATATGGAATACTAGTATATAGGATATTTAGCTGTGGTAAGAGTAGTTGAAAATGAAACGTCCCGGCATCAATTCACATAATAGGATTTATGCGCGTCCATAAATAAAAAAAATATATAATATATACATATATATTAAGAATGGAATATTATACATTTCGCTTAACTAGCCATACTATTTTTCCGCCTATCACCCTGATTGATGTAAGGAAAAATTAAGATTTCTCTAAGCTGTGGAAGAGTATACTACTATTTCGACGCTAATACCGCAGTTTCATATTCATAGGTATATCTGTATGGACTTATGTTTATATAAAAGTGAGCTGAGTAAAACAATAGCCGAGTACGAGCAGCAACATGGTTAGCAAACGCTTTTCAATGCGAATAAAAGAGCCACACGCTCGCTCTTTAAACTAGCCGCACAATGCGCTTTGATAATTTATTATGCTGCGCTACAGCATATTCGTTCCTAAATAGCGAAATACAAGTATATAAAAAACGATGAAATGATTTAAAAAAAAAATGGCAATACAAAATTTCCATGTATTGTATTTAGAATACTTTGAAAAAGCTTTTAAACTGTCGCTAGCTGCTGCAATTTGTTGCTCTTGTTATGGCGCTTTATATAGACTTGTACATGTGTGTGTGACTGTATTAGCTGCCAGCATGCGGTGCTTTTGTGCAGTGCTGCTCAGCAGGACTCAGCCACCAGGATATGTTATGGTAAATTGCCAAGTACATGAAAAGGATTCGCTTGTTCACCAGCACATACACACACACATGCGACGCACTTACGGTCTACTATAATGTTGCGAACAATATACATTTTTCACATCCACGCGGCTGCATACGTACACATTTTATAGCTGTTCTGTTGTTAAAGGGCGGATAATTTATGATGTTGTAACATGTTTAAAGGTGTCCGGTAATGTTATTTTTTGTATGTTAATTTTTTATTCAAGATCAATTGTTTCGTGCATGACTGTACGAAATGTTCAAAATATATATATACTTACTAATATTGTCGAGTGAGAGCACAAAACTTCAATTTTAAAAATGTATGTATGAAAATTACTCCTTAAATATAAAAGGCGTTGATTGCTTTTAAGTTTCTGGAATACAAATACATATTTCATTCTTACATTCATACTAAATAAGGGTTATTTTAGAACTTTTTTATTCCTTGCATATTTTACTAACGATACTAACTTACGGATAATATGTGCATGTGTATTTTTGGTACTTTAGGACCTCACTTTTATTTTCTACTCCTTTCCACCGTTGGTGGCTTTCCATGCTTAATACTCGAATTCCGAACGTAAAGACTTTTCACGAAGAGTCTAAACTTCGCCATATTTATGTCATATGCACTATCACGAACTCTCAAATATTCGAAGTTAAATTCAGATTGTGGATTAAGCTTTAACAAACCTTCAATCTTCAGATTGCTGTTCGACTATTTCTATATTTTAAGAAGCATTAATGATGTTCACGCATATAAAAGTACTAAAATTCAAATCCATAAAAAGAATAACATTTTCTTCTTTATAATTATAATTGCTTTTTCTTTTAGTACTTGTTGTAAGTTTCTATTTTGTCATAGAGTGCGACAAGTCCAAGGGCACTACAAGTATACGCGGGGAGACAGGATTAAAATGCGAGGATGTAATTTGGAAATGATTACACCAAAGAGTGAAGAGAAGGAGGGTAATAAGGCACAATAATTATATTAAAATGTACAAAAATGAATTCGAAGAAGCATTCGTAAGAAATTAAGACGAATTATAATAACTACATACTTGAGACTATCGAGAATAGATTTACCATACAATGCGAATGAATGAAATGGGCAATGTGCAAGAAGAATGAAAAGCAACATAGTTGAAACTGAACAAAATTTATGAAGTAACGGGAAAATTCAATAAAATGTAAAGTAGTATAAGTTAGCAGAAATGAAAATAAGGGAGTCAATGAAATGCAATTATAACAACATATTCAGGCAATTTACAAGCTTCGTCTTATGTCTTATGTCGTATTTCAATAGCTAAAAAATACGACACTTGTGAGCACCACCTAATTGTTGTATGCCATATTAAGTAATACTTCTACAAGTACACTTCACCAGCTGGTAATGAAAAATTAAGAATACAAAAATTCCACTGGAAAGTGATAAAATTAAAATTAAAGCTTCTTTATAGTGAAACAGCTACATTTTGGTTCACATTGCAACCACAGAAACAACAAAATATTTTTATATTTTACTTTTCTTCAACTAAATTTACTTGAATATCGTGGCTTCCATATTATTAAATAAATTGATGAAATGTATTTAATTTATTAATTTTAGACACCTAAACGTCAACAATAGAAAAATGTAAACAGATACAGCTGATAGAATAGCACTTTCAATTTTGTATGGGAAACAACAACAGTGTTGATATCACAGTCATAAAAAAATAAGACAGTACGACAATATGCCACAATATGACACCTTGTGAATACCCTAATTATAACAAAGAAACCCCAATTTCTCAAAAACAAAGTTTCGGAAAGAATTGCTATTTATTGTGCACCCTAAAAATATTCAAACTAGTGAAAAACCATAAAATAAATCAAATGTCGTTTACGAATCGCTAACATTAAAAAAAACAGAAACAATGTTATAATTATTTAAAGTGAAAATAATAATGAAAGAAATAAAATACAAAGACGATTGAACAGAAAAAAATTCCGGGTATAATATATCCGAAGTTCCGTTGGCATAACCTAAAATTTCAACATGAAGATAACATCATAATCGTACAATTGAAAAAATAGAACTAACTACTAACTCAAAGTTGATATTGATAACTTGTTTGAAGTAAAACGTGAAAATAATACATTTTATAATGCGATAATCAAGACCGATGGAGATACTTTTACTAAAATTATTGATGTTGAAAAATTTAACACAGGGTGGGAGTATTTGATGCAGTTAGTGTGACCAGGTGCTGTAAATGCAATGGATACAACGACAAGGCTACTGAATATAAAATGAAGACACCTGAAGGTGGCTTGTAAATATTGATGGTGGAACTGAGGTAAGATTGGTACTGTTGTTAAGTGGAAAGTCGGAAATTATTATACAGGCTATATTGGTGACAAAGAAAGTAATGGACTGATTGAGTTATTTTTGACATTGGTGGGATATACTTGAGAGCAGATATTCCAGCAATTTGATAAATATATAACTCACACATTGAACGACATGTTCGATATAAGGATTGATAAAATAACGAAAATCCATATATGTAGTATTTAGAAGTTGGGGCAATTAATAGAATAGATTCACATATAGTCGGCATTAAACCAATATTATATGTTCCGTTAATTTTGCTAAGATAGTCTTACATATGGTATTGCCTGATATATAATATAAGTGTGGCATACGGCCAACCGGAAGTTTAAAAATCTTATACGTGGTATATGAGAGATGGGGGTATTGACCCAATTTTATCTGTTTGTGGCAATACAACATACTATGAACAGAATAAAATGCTCCCTAAGTTTCATTACGGTACCTCACATACCGTCACCAACATATATGGAGTAAAATCAACCGGATGTTTGAAAATTTTGTGATTAGTTATATAGGAGCCAGATCTACACCCGTTTTTACTTATTTTAGATACAAAAATGCACCATTATAACAAAAATACATCCACTTAATTTTATTAAGATAGCTCATATATTGGCCGATATATGCGATATGAAGTAAACCGGAAGTTCGAAATTTCATAGAATGATCGTTATTTCCGGTAAAGCAGGGGTTCCTATATTCGGTCACTGGGGACTTGAACAGTTATGGTCCGATTTTGACAATTTTTAGACTTGAAATGGTATACCTCAAAGGCAAGTTTTATCCCGATATATTTTTCGATGCCTTATTTGTATACTAAAAAGTGTAAGAATCATATGGAATTTAAAATTGTGTTATATGGGAAATAGGAGAGGTTGTTGTCCGATTTTGTGTACTTCCGCACTGTAATATGGGAATGTTAAAGTATTCCTATAGATTTATTGTACTTTTAACAGTTTTTAACAAAACCGTTATATGGGGAGTGGGCGGGGTTCGATTTCACTTATTTTCACACTATCGTTAGAAGAGTAGAATATATTTGTTACGTGAAAATTTGGGTGATATAGCTTTATTGGTATGGGAGACATCTACATTAAAGTTATCAGGGGCGGGGCCACGCCTAATTCTTAAAGACTTTCAAACCACAGGTGGCCCTTCTTAATTAGAGGCCGTTGTGCCAAATTTGAGTTCTGTATCGTAATTTACAGCTTACTTACAGCACTTTATACTTTTTCGATTAATGGTGTTTTGTTGGCGTGGCAGTGGTCCGATTATGCCCATCTAATAAACCTTCCTTACTTTTTTACCAAGGAATATGTATACCAAGTTTCATCAAGATATCTTATATTTTACTCAAATTACAGCTTGCACAGACTGACTGACGAATGAGCGGACGGACGGACGGACAGACAGACATCCAGACTTCAACTCCTATCGTCATCATGACCATTTATATATAAATTAGTGGTAGGTGATACAAACAACCGTTAGGTGAACAAAACTATTATAGTATATATAAGTAACAGTAGTATAATAAATACAGAAGGACAAAAACAAATGTGGAAAAAAATTACTAGTGTTTAAATGAGTTTAAACTCCCTCCTCCAAGTACACCACTCTACTCGGGAAAAACTGGCACACCCTAATGAAACACACCACACTGCACTCAACCTCTGAGT